ACAGTGTACCACTGCAGTACCTTACATTAACCACCTGCGTACCTTACAGTGTACCACCTGCAGTACCTTACAGTGTACCAGCTGCAGTACCTTACAGTGTACCAGCTGCAGTACCTTACATTGTACCAGCTGCAGTACCTTACAGTGTACAAGCTGCAGTACCTTACAATGTACCAGCTGCAGTACCTTACAGTGTACCAGCTGCGGTACCTTACAGTGTACCAGCGCAGTACCCTTACAGTGTACCAAAACTGGGGTTTACCTTACAGTGTACCAGCTGCAGTACCTTACATTGAAACCAGCTGCCAGTACCTTACAGTGTACCAGTTTGCAGTACCTTACAGTGTACCAGCGTGGTACCTTACAGTGTACCACTGCGGTACCCTTACAGTGTACCACTGCAGTACCTTACATGTACCAGCTGCAGACCTTACAGTGTACCACTGCAGTACCTTACATTTGTACCAGCTGCAGTACCTTACAGTTACCAGCTGGGGTTTACCTTACAGTGTACCAGCTGCGGTACCTTACAGTGTACCAGCTGCAGCACCTTACAGTGTACCATCTGCAGTACCTTACAGTGTACCAGCTGTGGTACCTTACAGTGTACCAGCTGCGGTACCTTACAGTGTACCAGCTGCAGTACCTTACAGTGTACCAGCTGCAGTACCTTACATGAAACCAGCTCAGTACCTTACAGTGTACCAGCTGTGGTACCTTACAGTGTACCAGCTGCAGTACCTTACAGTGTACCAGATGCAGTACCTTACAGTGTACCAGCTGCAGTACCTTTCATTGTACCAGCTGCAGTACCTTACAGTGTACCAGCTGCAGTACCTTACAGTGTATCATCTGCAGTACCTTACAGTGTTCCAGCTGCAGTAACTTACAGTGTACCAGCTGCAGAAACATTACAGTGTACCAGCTGCGAAACCTTAACATTGTACCAGTTTGCATTTACCTTACAGTGTACCACTGCAGTACCTTACAGTGTACCAGCGGGCAGTACCTTACATGTACCACTGCAGTACCTTACAGTGTACCAGCTGCAGTACCTTACAGTGTACCACTGCGGTACCTTACAGGGTATCAGTTTGCAGTACCTTACAGTGTACCAGCTGCGGAAACCTTACAGTGTATCAGCTGCGTAACCTTACAGTGTACCACCTGCAGTACCTTACAGTGTACCAGCTGCAGTACCTTACAGTGTATCAGCTGCGGTACCTTACAGTGTGCCAGCTGCAGTACCTTACAGTGTATCAGCTGCGGAAACCTTACAGTGTACCACCTGCAGAAACCTAACAGTGTAAAAGCTGCAGTAACCTAACAGTGTATCAGCTGCAGTACCTTACATGAAACCAGCTGCAGTATCTTACAGTGTACCAGCTGCAGTACCTTACCGTGTACCCCCTTTGCAGTACCTACAGTGTACCAAGCTGCAGTACCTTACCATGTGAAATCAGCTGCAGTACCTTACAGTGTACCACCTGCAGTACCTTACAGTGTACCAGCTGCAGTACCTTACAGTGTACCACCTGCAGTACCTTACAGTGTACCAGCTGCAGTACCTTACAGTGTATCAGCTGCAGTACCTTACAGTGTACCAGCTGCAGTACCTTACATGTACCACTGCAGAAACCAAACAGTGTACCACTGCAGTACCTACAGTGTACCACCTGCAGTACCTTACAGTGTATCAGTTGCAGTACCTTACAGTGTATCAACTGCGGTACCTTACAGTGTACCACCTGCAGTACCTTACAGTATACCACCTGCAGTACCTTAGTGTACCACCTGCAGTACCTTACAGTGTACCAGCTGCAGTACCTTACAGTGTACCACCTGCAGTACCTTACAGTGTACCACCTGCAGTACCTTACAGTGTACCACCTGCAGTACCTTACAGTGTACCACCTGCAGTACCTTACAGTGTACCACCTGCAGTACCTTACAGTGTACCACCTGCAGTACCTTACAGTGTACCACCTGCAGTACCTTACAGTGTACCACCTGCAGTACTTCAGTGAAACCACCTGCAGTACCTTACAGTGTCCACCCGCAGTACCTTACAATGTACCACCTGCGTACCTTACAGTGAAACCACCTGCAGTACCTTACAGTGTACCACCGCAGTACCTTACAGTGTAACCACCTGCAGTACCTTACAGTGTACCACCTGCAGTACCTTACAGTGTACCACCTGCAGTAACCTTACAGTGTACCACCTGCAGTAACCTTACAGTGTACCACCTGCTGTACCTTACAGTGAAACCAGCTGCAGTACTTTACAGTGAAACCACCTGCAGTACCTTACAGTGTACCACCTGCAGTCCCTTACAGTGTACCACCTGCATTACCTTACAGGTACCAAACCGCAGTACCTTACAGTGAAACCACCTGCAGAAACCTTACAGTGTACCACCTGCGAAACCTTTTACATGTACCAGCTGCAGTAACTTAACAGTGTACCAAAACTTGCAGTACCTTACAGTGTACCACCTGCTGTAACCTTACAGTGTACCACTGCAGTACCTTACAGTGAAACCACTGCAGAAACCTTACAGTGTACCAGCTGCAGTACCTTACAGTGTACCAGCTGCAGTACCTTACAGTGAAACCACCCTGCAGTACCTTACAGTGAAACCACCTGCAGTACCTTACAGTGTACCACCTGCAGTACCTTACAGCGTACCACCTGCAGTACCTTACAGTGTACCACCTGCTGTACCTTTACATGTACCACCCTGGCGTACCTTACAGTGTACACCTGCAGTCCCTTTACAGTGTACCACCTGCAGTACCTTAACAGTGTACCACCTGCTGTACCTTACAGTGTACCACCCTGCAGTACCTTACAGTGTACCACCTTTGCAGTACCTTACAGTGTAACCAGCTGCAGTACCTTACAGTGTACCACCTGCAGTACCTTACAGTGTACCACCTTCTGTACCTTACAGTGAAACCACCTGCAGTACCTTACAGTGTACCACCTCAGTAACCTACAGTGTACCAGCTGCAGTACCTACAGTGTACCACCTCAGACCTTACAGTGTACCACCTGCAGTACCTTACAGTGTACCACCTGCAGTACCTTACAGTGTACCACCTGCAGTACCTTACAGTGTACCACCTGCTGTACCTTACAGTGTACCAGCTGCAGTACCTTACAGTGTACCACCTGCAGTACCTTACTGTGTACCACCTGCTGTACCTTACAGTGTACCAGCTGCAGTACCTTACAGTGTACCATCTGCAGTACCTTACAGTGTACCAGTTGCAGTACCTTACAGTGTACCAGCTGCAGTACCTTACAGTGTACCATCTGCAGTACCTTACAGTGTACCAGCTGCAGTACCTTACAGTGTACCAGCTGCAGTACCTTACAGTGTACCACCTGCAGTACCTTACAGTGTACCACCTGCAGTACCTTACAGCGTACCTCCCAACACACTACATATCCCTTCCCTCTTTTCTCTTACTATATATTTCCACCTCCCTTCAAGTAGCCCCTTCCTCCCTCTCTTTCCCCTTTCACTTGAAACCCCCCTCCTCTCTTCTCTCCCCTCCCCATACCTCTCCCTCCTCGCTCCTCCTGCCTCTTAACCCTCCCCCGCATTCGCTTTACTGGTGATCTAGATGAAGGTCTTACTGGTGATCTAGATGAAGGTCTTACTGGAGATCTAGATGAAGGTCTTACTGGAGATCTTGATGAAGGTCTTACTGGAGATCGTGATGAAGGTCTTACTGGAGATCTTGATGAAGGTCTTACTGGTGATCTAGATGAAGGTCTTACTGGAGATCTAGATGAAGGTCTTACTGGAGATCGTGATGAAGGTCTTACTGGAGATCTTGATGAAGGTCTTACTGGAGATCTAGATGAAGGTCTTACTGGAGATCGTGATGAAGGTCTTACTGGAGATCTTGATGAAGGTCTTACTGGAGATCTAGATGAAGGTCTTACTGGAGATCGTGATGAAGGTCCTGGTCATCATGAAGGTGCTTTCTTTTTTCCCCGCTGCTTCAGGAGTCGTCCTGGAAGTCCGCTGGAAGTGTGTTGCTGGTCTTAGAGAACGAGGATCTCTACCGCAACGAGGTCACTGCCTGATACAAGACTGTACTTTCCTTACAACAGTAATATATCTGGCACTGATATATTACTGATACTACAAATACTACCTCTCCTACTTTTACTCTTACCACTTTTACTGTTACTGGCACTACTGTTACTGGCACTACTGTTGCCACTACTACTGCCACCACCTGTACTACTACTGTTAATAATTATAATAATAATGTTATTAATTATAATGAATTATACACTAAGAATCCAAGTAAACATTGTATTTACACGTCACTGACATCAGTAAAACTATTGTGACATCCAAATCTTTGCTTCCCGTCAATGATTCATCTTCACTGCTCAACCGATACATCTCTCTCTCTTATCACCTCTCAGTTCCTACCTTCCATCCTTAACCTGCCCTCCCCACCACCACCTGCCTCTCACCACCACCTGCCCCTCACCACCACCTGCCTCTCACCACCACCTGCCTCTCACCACCACCTGCCTCCACCACCACCTGCCTCTCCCACCACCTGCCTCTCACCACCACCTGCCTCTCCCCACCAACCTGCCTCTCACCACCACCTGCCCTCACCACCACCTGCCTCTCACCACCACCTGCCTCTCACCACCACCTGCCTCTCACCACCACCTGCCTCTCACCACCACCTGCCTCTCACCACCACCTGCCTCTCACCACCACCTGCCTCTCACACACCACCTGCCTCTCACCACCACCTGCCTCTCACCACCACCTGCCTCTCACCACCACCTGCCTCTCACCACCACCTGCCTCTCACCACCACCTACCACTCACAACCACCTGCCTCTCACCACCACCTGCCTCTCACCACCACCTGCCTCTCACCACCACCTGCCTCTCACCACCACCTGCCACTCACCACCACCTACCACTCACCACCACTTTCGTGTACAGTTCTGCAGGTCGCCGCCACCTTTGCACGTGTGTGGCCGGGACGAGACAGCCTACTCAGCTGCATTCATATTCAACAAGGCTACGTTCAGCATGGCCGGCCAGCAACATCTCCTGCATTGCTTCTGCCCGCCGCCCCTCGCTCATGTGCGTGCTGACGTAGTGGAAGACGTAGTGGACGGAGAGCTGCTCCTGGCTACCCTCCACTCCTGCTCCAGGGTGAGTCAGTGTGGCACCTTCAGCAGTGGCAAGGCAGCAGGAAATAGGTAAGTAGAAAAGCAGGATGGAAAACAGGCAGACAAGAGCATATCAAATAACAGCAACAATAAACAAATAATCGCTTCCGATAATTCACTCTTTACCAGAGTTCTTTACGAAAGAATTATTAACTTAGTCGTAAGATTATTACAGAACTTGAATCAAGATCTTCAAGTACAAGTGAACGAAGTTGTTAATTCAGAAGTTGCGTTAGTAATAATGTAATACTGAGACATGCTCCAGGTAAGATAGACATGCTCTAGGTAAGATAGACATGCTCTAGGTAAGATAGACATGCTCTAGGTAAGATAGACATGCTCTAGGTAAGATAGACATGCTCTAGGTAAGATAGACATGCTCTAGGTAAGATAGACATGCTCTAGGTAAGATAGACATACTGTAGGTAAGATAGACATGCTCTAGGTAAGATAGACATGCTCTAGGTAAGATAGACATGCTCTAGGTAAGATAGACATACTCTAGGTAAGATAGACATGCTCTAGGTAAGATAGACATACTGTAGGTAAGATAGACATGCTCTAGGTAAGATAGACATGCTCTAGGTAAGACAGACATGCTCTAGGTAAGACAGACATGCTCTAAGTAATACAGCCATACTCTAGGTAAGATAAACATGCTCTAGGTAAGATAGACATGCTCTAGGTAAGATAGACATTTTCTAGGTAAGATAGACATGCTCCAGGTAAGATAGACATGCTGTAGGTAAGATAGACATGCTCTAGGTAAGATAGACATGCTGTAGGTAAGATAGACATGCTGTAAGTAAGAAAGACATGCTGTAAGTAAGATAGACATGCTGTAGGTAAAATAGACATGCTCTAGGTAAGATAGACATGCTGTAGGTAAGATAGACATGCTGTAGGTAAGATAGACATGCTCTAGGTAAGATAGACATACTGTAGGTAAGATAGACATGCTCTAGGTAAGATAGACATGTTGTAGGTAAGATAGACATGCTCTAGGTAAGACAGACATGCTCTAAGTAATACAGCCATACTCTAGGTAAGATAAACATGCTCTAGGTAAGATAGACATGCTCTAGGTAATATAGACATGCTGTAGATAAGACAGACATGTTCTAGATAAGACAGACAAGCTCTAGGTAAGATAGACAAGCTCAAGGTAAGATAGACATGCTCTAGGTAAGACATGCTCTAGGTAATATAGACATGACTAGATAAGACAGACAGCTCGGTTAACACACGACATGCTCTACAGTAATACAGCCAACTAGGTAAGAGAGATGCTCTGGGTAGCCAGACTGCTCTAAGTAAGAAAGTTCAGATTAGATAGATTTCGTTAGATTTTTAACCCCGGATGGTTAGCCCACCAGATAACCAAGGAAAGTACAGTGCTCATCGAGGACTGTCTAACTTATTTCTATTGTGGTCCTTAATCTTGTCCCCCAGGATGCGACCCACACATACTCTAGGTAAGACAGACATTCTCTAGGTGCGATAGACATGCTCTAGGTAAGACAGACATGCTCTAGATAAGACAGACATGCTCTAGATAAGACAGACATGCTCTAGATAAGACAGATATGCTCTAGATAAGACAGACATGCTCTAGATAAGACAGACATGCTCTAGATAAGACAGACATGCTCTAGATAAGACAGACATGCTCTAGATAAGACAGACATGCTCTAGATAAGACAGACATGCTCTAGATAAGACAGACATGCTCTAGATAAGACAGACATGCTCTAGATAAGACAGACATGCTCTACTTGACATGTTACGACTAGCACCCGACAACTTCTGTAATTTTATCTGCTTTTTCTAGAAGGTACTTATATAAGGTGAGTAGAAATATTAAGCGCGTCCGCCTGGCGCTCAGTAGACGTAGGATCGAGCCTCCGCCGCGTCTCGAACTTAATAACCTACTTGGGCGCACCTCTTACCTTATTTTTAGTTTCTATTACTGTTTTTTAAGAGCTTATCGAGTGTCGAGGCGATTTTGTCAAAGAACTACAGACCTACCCGGCGGGATAAACGCGGTCATAGAGTCAAAGAACTACAGTCCATACCCCCGGCCGGGATTGAACCCGCTGTCATAGAGTCAAAGAACTACAATGTTCAATGCTTCATTTTTCTGGCCCGTTACGCTGCCCACCAAAATACTTTGAATTTCGGACCACAATATCTAGTGACTCTACTAAATGTTGAATGTGGCCTTGTAATGTGAAGATGTGACCAATGGAAGGTTAGTGTAGCTGACTGGTGTTACTGAAGCACACGTGTTAAGTAACAATGTTGACATGTGAGTAACAATGTTGACATGTGAGTAACAATGTTGACATATGAGTAACAATGTTTGCTTGTGAGTAACAATGTTGACATGTGAGTAACAATGTTGACATGTGAGTAACAATGTTGACATGTGAGTAACAATGTTGACATGTGAGTAACAATGTTGACATGTGAGTAACAATGTTGACATGTGAGTACATGTTGACATGTGAGTACAATGTGAATGTGAGTAACAATGTTGACATGTGAGGAGTTGAAATTAAACTCCAGGATAACACTGACAAGTCTGTGTTTGTTCTTTACTGTCATCAATATTTGGAAAAAACATTACGTGAGATAAATGGTAAGAATAATTAATGTGTGTATGTGTGTGTGTGGTGTGGGGTGTGTGTGTGTTGTGTGTGTGTGTGTGTGGTGTGTGTGGTGTGTGTGTGTGTGTGTGGTTTGTCGGGTGTCTGTCTTTTTGCGTGAACAAAAAGGGTTTTTATAAAATAATGAGAGCATGAGCACAATGAAAATTTTGATAATTGAAATAGTGTTTAAACCTATATTTATATGAAAATGTGAAACAGAAAACATCTGTGTCCGTTTAAAATTTTCAATTTTTTGAAGATCTTTTTTATATGATAATTCGTGCCAAATTTCTGTAATCTCTATAAAATTTTTGCATTTAAACTACTTAAAAAGGTCAGGTCAGTAAAGGTCTCCTCACTCTGGCGAGTGTCAACCCTTTCCTCGCCACCGGGTGGTCAGGAAGGTCTGCCTCACTCGGCAGTGTCAACACCTTCCTCGCCCACCCTAGGTGAGTCAGTGAAGTCATACCATCACTCTGGCGAGTGTCAACACCTTCCTCGCTCATCCCTAGGTGATCCACTGAAGGTCCATACCATCACTCTGGGCGAGTGTCAACACCTTCCTCGCTCAACCCTAGGTGAGTCAGTGAAGATCATGCCTCACTCTGGCGAGTGTCAACACCTTCCTCGCTCACCCTAGGTGAGTCGTGAAGGTCATACCTTCACCTGCGATGTGTAACACCTTCCTCGCTCACCCTAGGTGAGTCAGTGAGGTCATGCCTCACTCTGGCGAGTGGTCAACACCTTCCTCGCACACCTAGTGAGTCGTAAGTCATGCCTCACATCTGAGGAGTGTCAACACCTCCTCGCTCACCCAGTGACAAGGTCATGCCTCACTCTGGTCGAGTGTCAACACCTTTCCTCGCTCACCCTAGGGGGAGTCATGAAGTCATTCCACTCTGGCGAGTCAACACTTTCCTCGCATCACCTGGTGATCAGTGAAGTCATACTCACTCTGGCGAGTGTCAACGACCTTCCTCGCTCACCCTGGGTAGTCAGTGAAGGTCATGCCTCACTCTGGCGAGTGTCAACACCTTCCTCGCTCACCCTAGTGTGAGTCAGTGGAAGGTCATACCTCACTCTGTGCGAGTGTCAACACCTTCCTCGCTCACAACAAGGTGAGTCAGTAAAAGGTCAATACCTCACTCTGGCGAGTGTCAACCCTTCCTCGCTCACCCTAGGTGGACAGTGCAAGGTCATACCTCACTCTGGCGATGTCAACACCTTTCCTCCTCACCCTAGTGAGATCTGAAGGTCATGAACTCACCTTGGCGAGTGTCAACACCTTCCTCCTCACCCTAGTGAGTCAGTGAAGGTCATACCTCAACTCTGGCGAGTGTCAACACCTTCCTCGCTCACCCTAGTGAGTCATGAAGGTCTGTCACTCTGGCGAGTGTCAACACCTCCTCGCTCACCCAAAGGTGAGTCAGTGAAGGTCATACCTCACTCTGGCGAGTGTCAACACCTTCCTCGCTCACCCTAGGTGAGTCAGTGAAGGTCATACCTCACTCTGGCGAGTGTCAACACCTTCCTCGCTCACCCTAGGTGAGTCAGTGAAGGTCATACCTCACTCTGGCGAGTGTCAACACCTTCCTCCCTCACCCTAGGTGAGTCAGTGAAGGTCATGCCTCACTCTGGCGAGTGTCAACACCTTCCTCGCTCACCCTAGGTGAGTCAGTGAAGGTCATACCTCACTCTGGCGAGTGTCAACACCTTCCTCGCTCACCCTAGGTGAGTCAGTGAAGGTCATGCCTCACTCTGGCGAGTGTCAACACCTTCCTCGCTCACCCTAGGTGAGTCAGCCTTGTCTCATGGCTTAGCATTAGAGGTTTTTAACTCTATCTTAGTAGTATTTTTCTCTTATTGATTTTCACGTTATCGTGAGTTTACCCTTGATAAGGGAAGTGATACAAATAAGTGAGAGAGTAGAGACAGGCTGGACATCACCCAACACATGGTAGCTGACTCAGGAAATCGTAATGACAGATTGTAAACAAACCACGGCTCACTCGTCGCGAGCTCAATCCCCACCCGTACCGCGGTTTCACATGGCAGTGCCTTGTGGCTAACCTTTGGAAGGTGACCTGTGTAGCCAGTGGCACTCACCGCTGTCTGCAACTCTCCAAATTTAATGAACATACAGCCTTTTATTTGTTTCTGTTATCCTTTACGGGTTTGATTATTGGTCTATGTAATGTTAAATATATAATCATATTTAATTTATATTAATTATGAATTTTTTTTAGGCTGATCTTTTTTCACTATCACTAGAGGTTATGCATGATTAATATGGTAATTACTGATTAAAAATACTTCAGCTTAGGAAGCGGTGTCACTGGTCAGTGTCAGCTGGTATCTTCAGCACCGTAGTGTTGCTAAATGATATTAGTTTTCTTGCTTGCTATGTTTTCCTGGCTTTGATGTGATCGTTATTACGAGATGATCAGGATTATTATTAATCCAGTTATTCTTCTTGCATGGAGCAGCTGGAGGTGTGTACTGAGGAGGCTCCCTGCAAGGAGGTAAGCATGGGTGGAGGAACGCCCCTGGTCAACCCTAAGTGCCGCTGCCCTAGGAAGACCTCCTGCCCCACCCTGGGCACCACCGTTGCCCCACACTCCAACACCTACCCTCAGGGCTCAGCCTACTCCGTGTTCTGCCACCCAGGGCCCGCTTAAGGGGTGAGACAACGTGACACTGGCTCAGTGTGCCCAGAAAATGATTGACAAGGAGCTGCGTGAGACTTGCGCGGATTTAGAAATCCAGTTTACAGACAGTGATCAAGACACCCACAGCATCGAAGCATTAAAACACTTGCTAAATGATTTCGGAGGCAGTTATTTCCCAGACAAAATATTGCAATACATGTCCTCAATCCACTTGACGGCATAATTGCCAAAATTTTTACATGGCACTGAAAAAAACTTCAATATTGGCAACATTAGTGAACACAGAAGAACTTAGCTTTACAAATGTGAAATCTATAAAACAGTTTTTTTTTTTGTTTTACGATAAACCAAGATCGGTTGGACGTTTATCACTCTTATTAAGTGAACCTGTAATTGTTGAGGATTTAGAACTGGGTAAGATAATCCAAAGATTTGCAGCTGTTTAGGCCTGAATAGGTAATCTTTGAAGCCGAAATTTTGACTTGTATATGTGTTATTAATGCTATTTGTTTATTGAATTTAAATTAATAAAGTATATTTGTTATTTTAAGATTTTAATAAAATGTACTGAATGAAAATAAACAATAAAATTATATCAAAAAGTGTATGTTATTTTCTTAACTGAAAACCATCGGGGAAGAAAACGTAAGACGGTGGATGAGAAAACGAAGTTGTCCACAGGAGATGGCTACCGTGAGAGCCAGCCTAGCTGTCCTCTGTCATACTAAATCATGGTTCCTCTTACAGCAGGTTGCCTCCTTTACCCCTCCCTCTAGTGTCACAGCTTCTGCAGGATGTTCTTGCCTCCTTTACCCCTCCCACTAGTGTCACAACGTCTGCAGGATATTCTTGCCTCCTTCACCCCTCCCTCGAGTATCACAACGTCTGCAGGATATTCTTGCCTCTTTCACCCCTCCCTCGAGTATCACAACGTCTGCAGGATATTCTTACCTCCTTCACCCCTCCCTCGAGTATCACAACGTCTGCAGGATGTTCTCGTCTTCTAATACCCAGTCAACCTACAGTAGCCACCACCAGCCTCCTTCCAGTCACCAGCGCCGCACTCACACACCAGCATTCGCTAACCCCTAATTTACAACGTAAACACAGCTTTTCACTCTCTTATTGTTTTACCTTAATCCGCTCGTGTCTTAGACTGACATTAACTCCCGACCCAGTTTAACAAAATTTAGTTTCATCTGTAATATGTGACTTAATTGACAATTTCTCAGCTACGATATTGTGACTCATAAAAGAATAACAAAGGACAATACAGTGACTGGAACAATACACTAATAACCGACACATGGGAGAATAAATCTTATGACGGCGTTTGGGTCTGACTTGGAGCGACTTGTCGTTCATTATTCTTAAGCTGAGAATGTTACTCTTCTGTTAGAGTTTATCAATATCTTATACAACATTGAAGAATAGGTAAAAGGACACCAGTGTAATTAATGTGACATTTTAGTGTGTCAACGTTTCGCTCTCCAGGAGCTTTATCAAGGCGTTACACATGTGTGTGTCGTTATATCTAACGTATTGTCGGTAACATAGGAGCATAAGAAAGAAGGAACACAGCAGGAGGCCTACTGGCCTTTGCGAAGCAGTTCCAATTCTCCCACCAGCTTAAGCCAAAGCCTTGACCTAGCTGCTGTGGCTCGGTGATGGAACAGTAAGTCTAACTTCGACTTGATATTATTAAGTTAGACTCACCTTACTCAACTTAATTACACATATAGAAAATTGCATTGTTATTTTGTGTAGTTTTAAACATAGGTTAGATGAATATATGAGTGGTGTGGGTGGGTGTGGGTGGGTGTGAGTTGGACTTGACTAGCTTGTGCTATTAGGTCTGATGCTGTGCTCCTTCCTTAAGTGAATGTGACCTTACCTGACTAGGTTAGGGCATTGGCTTAAGCCGGTAGGAGACTTGGACTTGCCTCGTATGGGCCAATAGGCCCATACGAGGCCTATTATACGAGAAGTATAAGTCTGGGCTCAATTATATCAAATTGATGCATTGTCGCAGTAACTTGTGTAATATCCACCCCATCAATTAAGACTCAGGTGATTTTTTACAGTAAATTAAAAGCATCGTTACTTAGAGAACGACAGTCGTACCGAAATGTCGTCGCGAGCTTCTACGTGAGAGGTTATTCGTGCAGCGTTACTTACAGCTACATCAAACATTGCAAGACAAATGGCACTTTAAGGGACACGTCAGTTCCAATATTTACAAATGATGTGTTATTTTCCCCTTTAATCTGTCTTGTCCATAATTACTATCGCATTTTCTTAATTCATGGTATAACTTAATGGATATTTGAGGCCAACTGTGTTGCAGAGGAATGTTCTCAAAGATATATATATACGTATATCATGTTGCAACCTCACATATACGTACATCATGTTGCAACCTCACATATACGTATATCATGTTGAAACGTCACATATACGTACATCATGTTGCAACCTCACATATACGTACATCATGTTGCAACCTCACATATACGTACATCATGTTGCAACCTCACATATACGTACATCATGTTGCAACCTCACATATACGTACATCATGTTGCAACCTCACATATACGTACATCATGTTGCAACCTCACATATACGTACATCATGTTGCAACCTCACATATACGTACATCATGTTGCAACCTCACATATACGTACATCATGTTGCAACCTCACATATACGTACATCATGTTGCAACCTCACATATACGTACATCATGTTGCAACATCACATATACGTACATGTTGCAACCTCACATATACGTACATCATGTTGCAACCTCACATATACGTACATCTGTTGCAACCTCACATATACGTACATCATGTTGCAACCTCACATATACGTACATCATGTTGCAACCTCACATATACGTACATGTTGCAACCTCACATATACGTACATCATGTTGCAACCTCACATATACGTACATCATGTTGCAACCTCACATATACGTACATCATGTTGCAACCTCACATATACGTACATCATGTTGCAACCTCACATATACGTACATGTTGCAACCTCACATATACGTACATCATGTTGCAACCTCACATATACGTACATGTTGCAACCTCACATATACGTACATCATGTTGCAACCTCACATATACGTACATCATGTTGCAACCTCACATATACGTACATCATGTTGCAACCTCACATATACGTACATCATGTTGCAACCTCACATATACGTACATCATGTTGCAAACCTCACATATACGTACATCATGTTGCAACCTCACATATACGTACATCATGTTGCAACCTCACATATACGTACATCATGTTGCAACCTCACATATACGTACATCATGTTGCAACCTCACATATACGTACATCATGTTGCAACCTCACATATACGTACATCATGTTGCAACCTCACATATACGTACATCATATGTATGAAGGGATAAAATAAATGATAAAGTCTCGTTGTTTTATATTTATGGGAAATCAAATTTGTATAAATAATAATAATAATAATAATAATAATAATAATAGAGGAGAAATAATGGAAGTTGTACAAAGAAGAAGTTTGTCCTGGCTGGATGTTTATAGGAACTTGCTGTACTAAGTTCTCGCTTCCAACTTAAACATCAAGTATGATAAACTAATTAAAGTTGTTGAGAACCACAAGTATATTTACACTCATCTAATTGTTAATTACACACACATACACACACACACACACACACACCACACACACACACACACACACACACAAAGGCTGGACACATGGTCCAGCAACTGGCTTCTCGAATTTAACCCCGCCAAATGAAAAGTTATGAAGATCGAGGAAGGGCAAAGAAGACCGCAGACGGAGTATAGGCTAGGTGGCCAAAGACTGCAAACCTTGCTCAAGGAGAAAGATCTTGGGGTGAGTATAACACCGAACACGTCTCAGGAAGTACACATCAACCAGATAACTGCTGCAGCATATGGGCGCCTGGCAAACCTGAGAATAGCGTTCCGATACCCTAGTAAGGAATCGTTCAAGACACTGTACACCGTGTATGTCAGGCCCATACTGGAGTATGCAGCACCTGTTTGGAACCCACACTTGATCAAGTAAGTCAAGAAATTAGAGAAAGTGCAAAGGTTTGCGACAAGGTTAGTTTCCAAAGCTAAGGGGAATGTCCTACGAAGAAAGTTTAAGGGAAATCGTCCTGACGACACTAGAGGACAGGAGGGTCAAGGGAGACATAACAACATACAAAATACTGCGTGGAATAGACAAGGTGGACAGAGACAGGATGTTCCAGAGATGGGACACAGAAACAAGGGGTCATAATTGGAAATTGAAGACCCAAATGAGTCAAAAGGGTGTTAGGAAGTATTTCTTTAGTCATAGAGTAGTCAGGAAGTGGAATAGCCTAGCAAGTGAGGTAGTGGAGGCAGGAACCGTACATAGCTTTAAGATGAGGTATGATAAAGCACATGGAGCAGGGGGAGAGAGGACCTAGTAGCACTCAGTGAAGAGGCGGGGCCAGGAGCTGAGTCTCGACCCCTGCAACCACAATTAGGTGAGTACAATTAGATGAGTAACACACATACCTCACACACACACACACACACTCACACACACACACACACACACACACACACACACACACACACACACACACACACACACACACACACACACATACACACACACACACACACACTTCCACACAAGAGAATAATGCAAAAGCTGAAGGCTCAGGCAGGTGTAACAGGAAGGTCACTGCAATAGATCAGAGAATACCTGACAGCGAGACAACAACGAGTCATGGTACGTGGCAAGGTATCAGAGTGGGCGCCTGTGACGAGCCGGGTTCCATAGGGGTCAGTCCTAGGACCGGTGCTGTTTCTGGTATATGTGAATGACATGACGGAAGGGATAGACTCAGCAGTCTCAGGAGACGATGAGGAGAATTCAGTCGGATGAGGATCAAGCAGGACTACAAAGGGAACTGGACACAATGGAATCATTGTTCAGCAGCTGGGCCCTGGAGCTTAGCTACATCAAGTGCAAAGTCATGAAGACCGCAGACAGAGTACGGTCTGGTGGGCCAAAGACTGCAAACCTCACTCAAGGGAAAGGATCATGGGGTGAGTATAATACCGAGCACATATCCTTATGTGCACATCAACCAAATAACTGCTGCAGCATATGGGTGCCTAACGAACCTGAGAATAGCATTCCGACACCTCAGTGAGGAATCGTTCAAGACTCTGTACACCGTGTACGTCAGGCCCATACTGGAGTATGCAGCACCAGTCTGGAACCCAAACCTGGATAAGCACGTCAAAAAATTGGAGAAAATGCGTATATTTCCAACAAGGTTCGTCCCAGAGCTAAAGGGTTTGTCCTACGAGGAAAGGTTATGGGAACTCAACCTGTGACCACTGGAGAACAGGAGGGATAGGGGAGTACATGATAATAATATAAAATGCTGAGAGGAATTGACAAGGTGGAAAGGGACAGAATATTCCAGAGATGAGACACAGCAACAAGGGGCTACAAGTGAAAGTTGAAAACCCAGATAAGTCATAGGGATTGTAGGTAGTATATATCTGCC